TTTAGATAATAAAAAACTTTAATATCCTAAAAAGAGTCCTTTTTTATGTCCGTACACACAGATATCATGCAAAAATATCGTTCAAATGGATGCAAGAGGGGTCAAAATGGATATTTTCGTTGAAACATGATACCCGAAATTTTTCACCGTTACAATATGTCGTTTACTTCTCCAAGCAAAGAAAGAAGAATAAGGAATCCGAATAATCAAAGCTTTTGATATCAATATTGTTTTAAATGTTCTCCAATTAAGCTTTTTTTTTTTTTTTTTTTTTTTTTTGAATTATCCATGGTTTTTTTCTCGATATTATACGAATTGATTGACTGTAAACATTTAAAAGTAAGTAAATTTATTAATAATACTTTTGGTTTTATTACCTAGAAATAGTACTAAGGAATGCGAATAATATTCGCTTTTGATATCCCTAGTCCTGTAAATGGAACTGGATTGCTTTTAAGTGCTGATAAAAGAAGGCAACCTTATTTCAGAATCTAAGATTAAAATTGAAAATCAGCAGGCATGAAATGGTAAAAAGCGACACGTACCTTAAAGCTTCAAGATAAATTAGTATTCAAATATTCGTCGACTAAAAAAAGAAATGGTTTGGAGATGGTAAAATGGATAAAATTAAAAATCAAAACTTTTATTCGCCAAAGGGCTCAAGACAAAGATCAGATGTACGAATAAAATTTTAAAACGAGCTACGGCACCCAAATGAATGTGGAGCTTTTTTCTTTTTTTTAAAAAAAAGAAAAGAGAATTCAGAAGTAGTCGTGTTCAAGACGTTCATTCTATATGTAAAATAAACTTGAAATTTATTTAACATAAAAAAGTTGATGCATGTGGATATTTTAGCTAGATTGAAATCAAAGAATTCTTTCTCACTTTGGTTAACGACGATAGTTTCAGAACGCATCTACCCGGAAAAGGTATTGTTAAGATTTTTTTGAAATAGAGCTTATATCTTTCGAAGCAGCAATAAGCACTTACTGATTGCATAAATGCTTGAAATTTTTAAGCAAGTCTAGGTCTCAAAGGCAGATTATATTTGTAATTAAACCTTTAAGTGGGTTTTAATTGCGAAACTTCTAAAATACTCAAATTTTTAATTCTGTCATGAAAAGAATTTCTAAGGGGAAGAAATATGATTTATGGTTTCCATTTTAATAACTAATTAGTATTTGCATTCTTCTATGAAAATGTCATCACTTGAAAAAACTGAATTATGTAAAAACTTTGACAATTATTTATTTATTTATTATTGCATAATTTATTAATTTCAAGATAAATTTTAATTATATGCTTTAGGATGTGAGTTAATGATTAAATGCTTTGTAATGCTGCTATTATAAAAGACTACTGAACAATAGTCAAAGATCAATGTTTCGACATTACATGGAATTAAAATATGCATAATACCACAGTTCATATATTTCCAATGCATTAAGAGACTTGATAAACGCAGAAAAACGTTGTATACTACTAAAGTTTTATATCCTACTTGACTAGAATTTATCGAAGTTCTTCGAATTTGTCTAATTTATGAAATTAATGCAAAATCTTAAACCAACTCTAGAGTTTGTATCATAAGCAATTTTGTTTTTAATATAATCCTCCTTTTAAGTGCCATATCTACAAAAATTATCCAAACAAATTTGGACCTAAATTTTAGAGTCACGTTGTTATTTTGCACTTTCCAAGGCAAATCGTAACTTTTCTGTATTTCAGCTTGAATGTTTAATCACGGCAAAGCAATCTAGGGCTATCTGCCTAAGGGGAAAGGATATCTTTGTGGAGGATTTTTTAAGTGAAACCTTTTTAATGGACATAAGCGAAATACATAATCGTCAAATTAGCGACATTTGACGATATTTTGCTAACATGGAGGTATTGTAAGTTTCTCGAGTCCATTTTCAAAGCATTAGCAGTGATTTTTCGGGAAGTTTCTGAACTTGTTTACCTTCCTTCTTGAGCAAACCTGTAAATATGAGGTTGTGAGCGAACTTTATTGGGCATTTGTACAGAAATTACTGCTTTATATTTTATAGGTTGGTACAGATATTTTAGCACTTTTCAATATTCTTCCCGTGTTAATGAAAATTTCGGTTTACCTGCTCGTTCGCCTCAGGTAATTTATAGTAGTTTATCTTGCCTGCAAGGTCTGTTAATTACTTCAATACAGTTTTCAATTTTTCCTCTTCATCTGGCAAGTTATTTTAGGAATTCTCTATGAATCTATAGTACTGTAACGTTCTGTACGGATTCTCGGATTTGGAATGATTGACGAGAACACTTGATGAAGCATGTAAAAATAATTTATTAGCCAGTGTTACTCAGGTCCAGCTCCAAAAACACGTTTACAGTAATCGAAAACTACGACAAGCACGCTGAAACAATCAGCAACACAGCCTTCAGGCTAAAATGCTATAATGGTGAAGACAGCAAAGCACCGGAGTACAGCTCCCGACTCGGTTCGGTCGTTCTCTGAATTCTACGTACTCTCGAGACTTTCCACGCTACAATATCATTAATATATAGAATATATATTAACATATATAGAATATATATTAACATATATATTCTATATATTAATGATATATACTGTTACGAAATGTATAGGCGCGGCAAGATGACTTGCCCGCAAAGCAGTTATAGGGTTGCCATAAAATGGCAAGGGAAGGCAGGGTTGCCACATTTGGCAAAGAAATCGCCCATTTGGCGACGAGGATGGAATGCTGCTTTATCGGAGAGTGATCCCCCGTATCAATTCGATGTTGCGTCAGTTTTGTGCGGCCAACATCTCTGGATGTCCTAGAAAATAGATCTTCAAATTCTTTAATTATTTTCTCTGCCGCACATCTTTGTTCAAGGGTTAAGTTTGCGCTCTGCAGAAGTTCTTCCATTAATTTACTAGTTGGCTCAGTCGGAGTTTCAAGTGGGGCTTTGTAAACGCAAGTAACTGGAGTGCATGCTGCTTAGCACTTCAACCTTTTGGATGTTCTCGGGCTGTGGCTAACATTCGTCACTCTCACAGGGAAGAAATCTTTCGAAAGGTCTACTAATGAGGAAGCCACTAATACCTCTCTTGGGCTATTTTCAGGGTATTCAATTAGTCCAAATTTGAAGCTATTCTTTTTTATGGAATCTTCTCCGATAATAATTCTGTCATCGGAGGGATGGTGGCATCTGTTTTCGTTGTTACTTGGTGAGCTGAAGGAATGCCGCTTTTCATTTCAAACACAGTTATATCTTCTTTCACACAGCGCAATTCGTTACGTTTAAAGTCCAACGTAAAGTCGTACAAATGGGCGATTTCTCGCCAAATGTGGCAACCCTGCCTTCCCTTGCCATTTTATGGCAACCCTATAACTGCTTTGTGTTGAAGCCATCTTGCTGCGCCTGTACATTTCGTTTCTTCCGCCATGGCTGTGTCTCGACACAGACTAACTCGCACTCCAGACGAGGAGGCACTCTGACTCGCCCTCTCGATGAAGCATACTCTCCCTGACCGAGGACCAGCAGGGTTTATATAGTTCGAGAACATTCTGGGCTAAACCGGTAAGAGTCGGGAGCTGCGCTCTGAGTGTCGTCGAGTTGTAGCGTGGAGAGTACGTGGAGTTCCGAGAACGACCAAGCAGATACGAGAGCTGTTTTCTAGTGCTTTGCCGTGAAGCTGTCTCCACCGTGATAGCCTGATAACCTGGAGGCTGCGTCGCTGATCGTGTCAGCGTGTTTATAGTAGATGTTCGACGACTTTAAAATGTTTTGAAAAAAAAAAAAATCAATGTCCTGATTAATATTGGTAAATAAAGTGTGTTCGATACTTCATTAAGTGTCGCCGTTATTCACTCCAAATCTACGTACCCCGTACGAACGTGAAGGAAGAGAAAAAACGCAACAACTGGTGTCAGAAAAAAACGTAGCAATATAATATCTTTTCATCTGACATAAGTCAGAGAATCGGTGAGGGGGGGGGAATTCAAAACTTTAAATTCTTCTGACAAGAATTTAACTCTGGCCGGAACTTTCTTAATGGTAACTCTTTAAGTTGAGTTACTGCTTTTATGACTTCTTTTATTCTGTACAGTCATTACCTTATTTTGAACAGGTGGTGACATGAAACGTGGGCAATGCTCTTGCCGGGACTCGAATCTGGACCTCTTGAATATGCCCCGAGTGTGCTACCGTTACACCATGCAAGCATGCTGGAAGGAAGGAAAATATACCCCTCTTTAAATGACGACTGTGATGGGGAGGATCCAATCGTCAAATCCTAGTAGTGACGAGTTATTCTCCACCACCTTTTATTTCGCTCACCACTGTAGAGTCATTTGGTTTTTGATGCTGGAAATGTGAAAAATGGGCAATGCCCTCGTCCTGGCTCGAACCTGGGTCGCTTGAATACGCGCCGAGTGTGCTACCGTCGCACCACAAACGCGTACGAAAAGGAAGTAGAAAATATTTCAAAAATAAAATTTACTGTTAGATAAATTAAATGTTTCTCACAAGTTATATGATAATAAATTACTAATAAATATAATATGAGGCAAGAAGAATATACTATAAACTCCCTTACGAGTTGTGAGAGGAAAAATTTACCAATTTGTGAAAAGCACAACTCGGAAGGGATAAAACTCAAATCAGTTCTCAAGTTTAAAAAAAAAATCGTATGGAAGCAAATGAGCGATCGATCGCGATTATTATTTTGGTACAGGATTAAATCTGTATAATATAAGATAAATAAAAGACAGATAAAAATATGCGTACAATCAAAATTACACTCAAAAGAAACAGAATTGATCTTCCATTAATAAAAGAATCTTTTTGCCGTGAAAAGTGTTCACTTAATGTTGTGTTCGAACATTTAATGCTTTTAATGCTCAATGTTTGGGCCATTTATCTTTCATTCGTTTTTATTTATCTTACAATGTTCAAGTTTCAGTAAAAAGTACTCCCGAAAAGAACTTTATTTCATGGTCCTTTTTATTTCATTACTTCAGGTTATCAGAGAGCGAAAGAAAGAGCTACTCAAGAGAAAGAAAGAGGAAGAGGAAGGCGAGAATCACGCAGATGATGTCGAGACAAAGAAACGAAAAGCTTTCCTGGATCTTTTGTTGGACCTCCATATTAAGGACAATATTCTTAGCGAGCAGGATATTAGGGAAGAAGTTGATACGTTCATGTTCGCGGTAAGAAGTCCTTCATTTAACAACAAAAAGAATTTTCCTATTGAATATAGGTTCATAAAAGCTACTGACATGCAATGCGTGTTGGACAATTTAAAGCGTCTGTAGAATGAGAGGACAACAAGATATAGTTTGAACCTATGTTCACAATAATTTGAAATGCTAACCACTTTTATCATTCGAAATGCTAAAAATATAACTGCATTGCCAATCCAATGTTGCAGTTACGTTGCATTCAGATGGATGCACATCAAAGCTGTAATGACTAATATTGTGTTTCTATTGCTAATATTGTGTTTTTGCTAATTGTGTTTTGTGTCGTCAATAGCGCACCAGAAAAGAATTTCACATACGCTGCTATGTGATTTTCCGTCATCTAGGTGACTCAATCTCTCCTGAAAGTTTGTAACAGATTTGCTAAAAAACCCTGTACCTTTGGTATTGCCGACTGCAATAAAAAATAGAGGTGCACAATTAGATGTTATACCAATCCCATATGCAAACTTTCAACATTTCGCGGCTAATTTTTTTTGAATTATGAGAGTTACATACATGGATACGTACATACGTAAGAACATACAATGGTCACGACAAAAGTCCCTTTTGAATCCATTTTACAATCCGTTTTCGGAAAAAAAGAGTCTTTTATTCTACCCGTACGTGCTGATGTCATACAAAAAATTGTCAAAATGCATTCGGGAACAGTCAAAGTGGATTTTCTGTTAAAATATGATACATGGCATTTTTCACGATTACAATACTTCATTTCCTTCGAATAAGGACGTAATTAGAGCATGAGTTAAATGTTTTTATAAAAGGGTCAAAATAGTATTTCTAACCTATTAGAGTTTTCAGAATGATGGCAAACCGAGTAAAACTTCTACGGATAATAAAGGACTGTCTAATTAAAAAATAACTTTGGTAACTAATTATTTAGTTGCAATAAAAATAAAAGAAATACTTTCAATGAAACAATCAATATTAAATTAAATAAATAAAATAAAATCTTATAGAAGACCTCGGTATTTTCAACGTAATCCTACATAAAGTTGCAATCAAAAAGACAGTCATAAGCTTCTTAAACGAATTTTTCTTTAATTCAAAACTAAAGTTTACCAAATACCTTTCATTCTTTCATCCTCGGCAGATAATCCTAAATTCAAGAAATGGTTGGAAATATTCTTTCGCTCTTTGGCTCGAAGAATAACTACACTTTTTTTTAATTGACCAAAAAAAAAAAAAAAAAAAAAAAAAAGAGTTACAAGAATTTAATTTACTGTTTTTTATATTCTTCCAGTGTTATATTCTCTTGTACAAACGTGGCTCAGTGCATCTGCTTTCGAATATTATTAAAATCACCGTGAATAAGACTTGTGGTCCAAACAAGATTTTAGTGCCACAGTCAAACAACTTTAATTTACAACTGCTTGCATTACTAATTTGCAACTCTTAAATAATGATTTCTAATTTTTATTGTTCGGATATTTACAAAAGCTTTTCAAAAACGAATGTTTTCTGATTTACTTTTAAATAGTCATTTGAGTAAATTTTATCAGTTACTGTACTTTCGAAATCGTCTGCATCTCTCTCAATTAAACTGAATTCTGCATTCGGAAATGGCCAAGAAGTTCAAAGGGAATTTGCAAAGGATTTAATAATCTTAAAACCCCGAAATGAACTTCTCCTTTTTTTTAATTATTATTATTCATTGTATAACCTTTCATCTCTAATATAATGCAATTTTATTTCATTATATTGGAATAAAATTTCATTATACTGGAAAGGCGTTCGTTTTTAAGAAGAATGAGTGTAATTATTATTTCATATCTAAGCAGTTAAACCTAAGTATTCAACCACATTCTCTATTTAGTTTAAGTTTAGAATTTAAATCCTTTCATGGCTGCTCGATACTGCGGTTACCAGAAACAGCTGCCATCTGAAGATTTGGTTCCGAATCGGAGATTGTCAAAAATGTGAGACATAACTCTTTGTATTTCTGGTGTTGTGATGATCATATCATTCCATAATCTGTAGAACTGGGTTCAGTTTTACTATCAATGGCAAATCAGTTTTCAAGAAAGCTTTCTCCCAAAACACTTTATTCTCACAATGGTATATGAACAGAAACATGCTGGATAGTTTTTCGCTCTTAACTTGGATTGAACAAACTATTCCATTAGAGTTTTCGTCTCCTTTTAGCTATGGGAAACGGGGATAACGAATTAGATAAATTTGTTTGGTGTATTCCTGAAGAATAATAGTCAGCATATCAATAAGGTATACTAAAAATTCGGCTTCGACTTCACGCAAACGCACATGGAAATTTCGAAGAAGCTACACCCCAAAAATACTAATACCGTTGCAAAGACTTCCGAATTCTCAGGGGAAGAACTATTTTCGGTTGAGTAATTGACTAACTTGAAATAATTGACTGGTCATCTCTGCCCCCTATTTGCACTTAAACTGCGATGGGGGAAGTCTAATACATCTTTTCGATGTGCTTTAGTGATGCATTTACCTTGGTATTAATTCCAATACTCATGTTCAAATTATGGCAGATTTATTTTTCAAGAAAATTTTCTCCGAAACACTTAATGTTTCTACAAAATGAGAAATGAATATCTATGATTATCTTCTAAATTTAGAAAATGGCCATTTGCAATTTAGAAAATGGTTCGGTTTGAATATCCTTTAGCAACTTGGTAATATGTCATATAGGTTGGAAATAGCACTAGAGTACTATAGGGCGCAGTCCGGTCCACCTGGCAAGTAAACTCGCCATATGTCCATAGTACTTTATGGAATTCAGTTTAACAAATAAACAAAGAAGAAGAAAAATGAGACTCTAAGATATCGTACTCAGGACAGTTAGTTTTAGTCAAAAATTGGAATAGTGATCCATATTTGCAAAGGATAAGTTCTATATTAATCATTGTGCAGATCAGGGGGATGTCCATGCTTTGATTTCAGTTGCGCTTTACTATTTTTATCCTGATAGTGAATTCGTTATAAATTACCCTAACTTCTAAATTTAACATGTTTAAAGAATGTGCGAATTTACGTAAGAACATGGCAACATTTTAACACATTAAGACTATTAATGTAGTAAAATTGCAATATAGTAAAAAACGTATCTTAGATGCTGGACAAATATTGAAAAGTCTGTCATGATTAATCGCTCCTATAATTCTGCTTTGAAAATTTTCTTAAAATATCTTACGGTTTTAAGATACCAAACAACAAAATCGGAAATTTTTTAAATGTATCAGAAGAATTTTCTTAGTAACAAAATTAATTTTTAAACGATAAAATATATTGAAAAAATAATATCTTTGAATATTGATATATTCAAAGAATAATAACGAAAGTGTTTAAGAAAATCGCTGTTTTACAGACCGAAATCGAAAAGTGATGAAAGCGATCAGTGATGAAAGGTATACATTATAAATTTGTATCATATCTCCTTAAAAAAATAATACAAGAAAAGTCATTTACATCAATGAGACATTTAGATCAATGAGTCATTTAGATCAATGAAAAAAACCTTTTATTTAACTAGTGTCATGAATGTTTAACTCACAATTTCTTAAAGGAGTTCTGTATGAAACGCACACCTTTTAATGACAAAAGAAACACAAAGAACAGCTTTCTATTTTGTTGTAGTTGTGATTAGGATTAGGAACGGGGGACTTGGGCACCATCCCTTTACCGTTATGGTTCATTCGTTTAGCGCCACGTCCTCCAATATCCAGAGCAAGGCCAGAATAAAGCCACACATGAGACTCGCACCAGACGCCCAGACCCAGCACTCTATTCATCCGGGTAGCAGTCCAGCCGACCAAAGTGCTCCCGAGGAATACTCTAAGCCAAAATGCCGGGTCCAGTGTTAATTTGTTTCCAGGAATAAAAAGTACAGTGCCAAACAAAGGCAGAATCTTTACATAGGTTAACATACAATTACATAGTTGATCACAATAAGATTATAGAATCATGACATTAAAAATACCTGGTTATCCGCCAAACAGTAGGTCTATTACAATAACGTACATATGCAAATTTTGGTTAATAGTAGTAACAATTTGTGCGGCTACTCGTATTTGACAAATTACCTTTTAAATATAAACCTTACAATTGCACTTATATATGTCATGTTGTTTAGATATATATTACAAAATACAAATATGCAGACATTGAAAATGAGTTATAACAATTAATACATTATTCTGCAAATTAAGAGCTATTCACTTTGTACATATTACTGTTTGAAATTTAAATCCTACAAGTACGCTTATGCATTATGTATTCAAATCATACATGATGCTGCAAGGATACATTACATATACTTAACTTACCATTACATATACACAAACACATACACATGTAAACTCCTGTTAAGAGTATTAACAATTTGTGCAGATTATGGGCTACACGTGTTTGGCGTATTACCTGTTTATAAATAAGTTTTACAATTACACTTAATTATGTCATACAAAATGGTGAAAAATTACAAAATACAAATTGCAATTATTGATAATGAGTAGCAGCAGTTTTATACATTATTCTGCTGATTATGGGCTACTCATTTTTACATGTTACCGTTTTAAGTTTAAATCCTTCAAGTACATTCATGCATTGTAAATTCAAAACGCACAAAATGCTACATAGAAATATTACAATTACTTAATCAGTCATCTTGTTGTAGTTAGAGACGAATCACAGTAGCATGCCTTGCTTGTTGGAGAACTTGAATATCAACGTTTCAGCAACTTCTGCATTTATGCATAACGCTGGCGCGCCATAATGTTCCATTGAAGAAACGGCCTTGGTTATATTTCATAGCTGTTGCAGAGAAGAAACAAACAATTTTAAACAACAGACATCGTAGTTTTGGTTATTAAACCAAAACTACGATGACATCCAAAATGGTTATTAAACCAAAACTACGATGACATCCAGACAAAAAGCTAAGTACCCCAAAATCATGAAGCTTAGCAGGAAATAGGTAAATGTCCTACATCGAATTGAAAGCGGAGTACAATCGAAAATCCAGAACCTCTCGGCGAAATGGGAATCATTAACACCCCTGAATTGATATTAGCCTCGAAAAATCCAGAAAATAAATTCGAACTTTTCTTTTTATAATTGCCGTCACGAAACCTCTTAATTTTCTAGGAAACAGAATACTACTGAAGCATACCTTAAAAACAGGTTATCTTCTGTTCATATTAATGTGAGCCTCCAGATTTAGTTGAAATGCTTTTAAATTATATGATCTGAATTTTGGATTTTCTACTCATATAATGGATATTTCTTTTATGTTCACATTTAGGGACACGATACAACTGCTATGGGCATCAGCTGGGCGCTATATAACATAGGATTACGTCCGGATATCCAAGAAGCTATACATGAAGAGCTGGACGTGATATTTGGAAACGATGACCAACGTCCAGTTACTGTAGAAGATGTGAGAGAAATGAAGTACCTCGAATGCGTTCTGAAAGTAAGTTCCTCGCAAGGTACAGTTTTGCAAATGTAGACATGATGTAAAATAAATAAGTAAAAACTCCCAATTAAAGCGTGAAGATAAGTCATCTCCTAAGGCGGTTGCCTTGAATGATCGTCTCTTCTAAATTACTTGAACATGCCAAATACTCGTGGAATATTTTACATTATAACTTTTAGGTAAACGTTGTTTATAAAATCTGGTCATCAATAGTTGTATGGCATAAGTTTGTTATGATTAATAACTTTTATCTGCCAGTGATTTTTTTGAAATACTCTGAAGGCATTATCTTTTTCACCAAATTATAACATGATGAATTTTATCTCATTTATGTCACCAGATATTCTAATTATTTCAGGAAAGTCAGCGTCTATATCCTTCTCTTCCGGTCATTGGCAGAGAACTTGAAGAAGATGTTGTTGTTGGTAAGTCATCAAAGAAGATCTATAATTTTATAATAACTTGCCAGTCGTAAATGTAAGTAATACATTTAATAAGAGCTTCAGAGTTTTGGTAATTACGAAACGAATAACAATTAGTGATAAAATAATAAAGAAATAACGCTAAATCAAGCAAACTAACAAAATACACTAAAATACAATAAATAATATGAAACAACATAATATATTAAATCATGAACAATAATAACAACATTATATATACAAAAATAACAACAAATATAAATTATAAATAGCTACTATATATATGTAAACTACTAATAACAACACTGTATGAAATAAGATATAATTTCTCAGATTAGAAGCAATATCTTAACTATTAAAATAACAGTTTTAATAATAACAGCTTGTGAATTCTTATGACGCGAAAATAATAGCATAAGAATTATTAAAGTAACAATGTCATAATAGTATATGAATCATTATAGTACTTCGTGAACTGTTAAAGAAAAAAGCTGATGTGTACGCCACATGACTTCCTTGTACGGAATATTAAATTATACGCATTGCTTTCTGCTTTTCATTTAAACCGCATTTCCTCAAATTTCATTAGAGATACATTTCTCATTCAATTAATTCAGTTCTCACTTCGCGGGAAGGCAAAAATACATAAAAGGTCAAAATAATTTCGTTAATAATTGAAAGATGTAGAAAAACATAATATACCAAATTGAAACAATTGAAAAAACAATTTTTACAATTAAAATTATAGTTTATACGCTAAAACAAGCAATTCAGGCAAGAAGGCAGATTTTTCGGTACATAAAACTAAAAGTTTCCTTTTGATCCCACTCTGCAAAAAGACACTGAAGGTGCAGAAAGACTTAGTTTACTATACTGCAAAGTTTCAAATCCAAAACAATATTTCTGCTATGTTAAAGAAAAATTAGGCTTAGCCGCATTTAAACAACTTTAAAAATGCTTATAATTCTACAACTATAGCATGCAGCTTAAATAAAGGCATAAGAACCTTAACCGGAGGATACGAACAACATAATTCAACCATTTTTAAAAGGATGAGTATATATATATATATGTCATAATAAAAGCAAAGGAAAAGACGGAACACTGTAGATGCGTGATTAGATCCATATTGAAGAAGATTTTGACTGCGTAGTATGCTAGTAATGCTAACTTGGTAATATCTAAAGAACTTGGCAGTCGAGGCAATTTTATTTCCATTTTTATTTGCAACTTGATATTTGTGGCCACAATCACTTGGCACTCTAGTCTGCCTTTCCACAGAATCACATCATTTACATCTTTGATATTGTTGAGATAGAAAGCAAGCCAGCGAATTTACATCTTAGCAAAGTAGAGAGGAAAGCTGAAGTGCGTAGTTATAAAAGATGGAAGCACGCGAAGAGAAAAGTTTTGGTTTACAATGGCAGTTTCAGTTCCATGTAAGATAAAAAATATATGAATTAAAATTATAGTTTAAACTAACGGTAAAACATTAATTATTCCTCTCTATTCTAAAATCGTAATAACTTCTCTGCATTGCGTCATTTCTAGATCACTCTGCAGCTGTGATGACGTAATAATTGGGAACTGAAACTGCCATTGTAAACCAAAACTTTTCTCTTCGCGTGCTTCCATCTTTTATAACTACGCACTTCAGCTTTGCTCTCTACTTTGCTAAGATGTAAATTCGCTGGCTTGCTTTCTATCTCAACAATATCAAAGATGTAAATCTTCTGTGGAAAGGCACGACAAGAGTGCCAAGTGATTGTGGCCACAAATATCAGTTGCAAATAAAAATGGAATTAAAACTGCCTCGACTGCTAGGTTCTTAGATATACCAAGTTAAGCATTATTAGCATACTACGCAGTCAAAATTCTTCTTTCAATAATGGATCTAAGCACGCATCGACACTGATTCGGATCTTTTCCTTGCGCTTTTATTATTATTACAATTAGTCGTACAGGATTGGATTATGTGCTGCTAACCTCAATGGAAAATTTAGTTCAACTCTTCAAATCATCGTTTTGTTATAAATCTAAGATACAGTAAGACCCCGCTTAACGCTGTTTCGTTTAGCGCTGTTTCGGTTTAGCGCTCTTTTATTTCAACCCGGGGATTCCACGAAATCGCTCTCAGCATACGGGGATTCCCCAAAATATTATGCAGCGATAGGTTTCAAATACATATCCGAAAGAGTGTACTTGTATTTCTTGTTTGGTGCAGTATTGTACAGACATATTTTAAGGAGTAAATGTGGAAGATGTCGAAGAATAATTCAAGAAGCAGCGGCTAGTCTTTCTAATGATGAGCTCAAGGAATTAATGAACAAGAAGAAAACAAAATGTTGACAGCAGTGATTCAGAAGAGAGCAAAAGAACTTTCGATGGCGTTGTAAAAGGAGTTTGTCTACCATAACCGAAATAATGGATCAATTCATGAAAATGATCCGAATTTTGACAGGAGCTCAAAGTAAGGCGTGGTGTTAGAGATGCTCTATCGTTTATGAAGAACTTTAAGAGAACAAACGCAAAGAAAAAAGGCAAAAACATTAGAGCTTTTGTCACAAAAAGGCAGAACACTGAAAACGCGCAAGGCTAACTAAATATGACTGACTGAGAATTTTATTGTTTTTTTAAGAATATTCGTTTTGTTATTATATTTTGTTTTTTTTTTGCAAGAAATAATAAGTGGTATTAATTTGGGCTTTAAGAAATAAATGTTTGGTTTTTTTTATTAAAAAAACATACTTTAAAATTTAATACCTAACCAATTTCCTAGCCATCTTCCCCTACCCAATTTACATGTAAAGATAGCCTCGTTTAGCGCTGCTTCGCATTACGCTCTACTTGATGGAAACGTATCCCCGCGTTAAGCGTTGTCTTACTGTAATGTGAAAGAAGTGAATCGTCAAATTTGTTTTCTCAGTGTTTAAAAAATAACAGATGTGATCTAGAAATGACGCAATGCAGAGAAGTTATTACAATTTTAGAATAGAGAGGAAGAATTAATGTTTTACCGTTAGTTTAAACTATAATTTTGATTCATAAATTTTTTTCTTATATCTATATATATATATATATATATTCATCCTTTTGTTGCTGCCGCTTGCAACCAAAAAGAGAGTTGCACAGCTACATGTTACAGACGCTCCGTAAACACAATTTTAACGTTCTGGGGCTACTCGTTTTTGAGTTATGCGAGATATATACATACCTACGTACGTACAGACGCCACGCAAAAAATTTCTTCTGAACGCATTTTAAATCAGTTTTAGAATTCCGTTTGGGAATAAAAAAAAAAGAGTCCTTTACTCTGTACTTACAGGTGTCACGCAAAAACATCGTTAAACTGATTCGATAGCGGTCAAAATGGATATTTTCGTTGAAATATGATACCCGCAATTTTTCGTGATTACAATACTTCCTTTATTTCATACAAGGAAGTAAAAATGCAGTAACAGTATGAGAGTAATAACAGTATCATTAATAACAGTAGCAGATAGCACTTGTGTGCATTTCCATTATTTAAATAATCTAACTTGATCGGTAAGACAATATTTTGTGAACCGCTAAAGTAACAGTTATTAATATTTTTGTTATGTGGAAGATTACGAAAATATATCTCTGTCTTAGTGTAAAAAGGATAATTTGCTTCACAAATTTCATGTATGAATAACCACTAGATTAAATATGATATAAAATATATAAAACGTGACTGTTACCAAACTACCCCTAAATCATAAATTTTGAATAAATATCAAATGGAGTCTAGTGTAAAATGAGCTAATTTGTTCTTTCCCTCCTCCCCTTTCTTTCTTTTTTTTTTTTTCGGAAAATGACTGAAATTTATTGTGGATCACTTAAAAAGTGTAAAAGAGATCAGATGAATCATTGTAAAATACGAGAAGAGTATGTAACATTAAAATTAATTAGAGGTTTAGCCCCTGAATAGTGTTAAAAAGTTTTTCAAATTGCAAGTTATGTTCGGAAATGTAACTCAGCTGAACGGTTTTCGAATCATAAATATGAAAACGTAGTTAATTTCATCATTTATACATTTTATAAACTTCTCAATTTTACTTAATTTACCAAATAAAAATTGAATTATTTCATTATTCTAAAATTATTAACTTTTAAACAAAATATGGTCTACAATCAAACATATATCGTTGCACTGAAATTTTGCAAAAGATATTAATAAATACCACGAGCAAGTATCTCAGAATACATACATATCTCACATATAATCGAGACCAGCGTTTCTCAACCTTTTGACTAACGCGTATCATCTAAACAAAAATTGAGAACCTTTAGTACCACCACTACAGAATACTACAACCACCACCACTCTTGAACAAAGCTCAGATTGCATAAATTTACGAGTGCTAGAGAATTACATTTACCATGCAAACCTCATATTTTTTATCCTCTCACATTGAACAAAATTAATTACAACTAGCAAAGCAAAATATATTTTATTTAATTCGTGTTTAACGAATTAAATAAAAGTTCAGCAAGTTCAGTAAGTTTGGCTTGAGATTAGTCCTAGAAAAGGCTCATTGTTAAGTATTAAAGCTAAAACACGCAATGACAGTGTAGACATAAAAACCATTTCTCTACCACTCTTTTTCAACAAATGCTCTATTGACTTACTTAAACCTTCTCCTCAATGTTCTACAATTTAACTGCTTGAAAATCGACAATCCCATACGATTTGGACATAAATGCATTTTTCTTCTCTTTGCTGTCTGTCTCTGAAATGTAATCGAAAACACGTCTGGCTAATAGTCGGCAGGTCCCGGTGATGCCGTTATACGTTCTGCCCATAATCTGCTCCGATATAAAATTTTTAACGGTCCCTACTATATTACGATTAATTGCTTCAATATAATATTTTCACACGTTATACTGTTACTCGTTATACGAGTAAAGTAAAATGCCTTGCTCTATATTGCTTAATATAAAACAGGAAATATCTGTACTCGATAAAGACCTGTCACCAC